GCAACATAGTGAGACCTTGTCCCTACAAAAAAAAAAAAAAAAAGAAAATTTAAAGTAGCCAGCTGTGATGGTACCCATAGTCTGAGCTACTTGGGGAGGCTATGGTTGGAGGATTGCTTAAGCCCAGGGATTCAAGGCTTCAGTGAGCTATGATTGTGCCACTCCACTCCAGCCTGGGCAACAGTGTGTACCCCTGTCTCAAGTAAAATAGTTAATTAATTAAAATTAAAATGAAGGGCAGGCATGGTGGCTCACACCTGTAATCTCAGCACTTTGGGAGGCTGAGGCGGGCAGACCATAAAGTCAGGAGATTGAGACCATCTTGGCCAAAATGGTGAAACCCCATTTCTACTAAAAATACAAAAATTGCCAGGTGTGGTGGTGGGCACCTGTAATCCCAACTATTCAGGAGGCTGAGGCAGAAGAATTGCTTGAACCTGGGAGGCGGAGGTTGCAGTGAGCTGAGACTGCACCACTGCACTCCAGCCTAGGCAACAGAGGGAGACTCTGTCTCAAAAAAAAATTAACTAATTAAAATAATTATCTCCAATATTTAGAAAATGAGCAGATAGATCACTGTTCTAAACTTTGTACCTTTTTTTGACATTTTTTCTACCTGGGCTTAGTATGTAAGTCGTCTCTGTTTAGTGGTTTTAACACTGCAATCACCCCTATGTATCATGAGCCTTAAGTAAATGAGTTGAGGCCTGAAGTAAATCAGGCACAGTTCTAGAATAATTTTATTAAGTCTGATCATGTATTTGATATTAGAGAAGTGTATGAATGTGGGAGAAGTTTATTTGCTGAAGCAAATGCCACAGTTTCCAAGTAAATTAGAGATAAAAACACAAATTTAGAAAGTAAGAAACTCTCCACTCAAAAAAAAAAAAAAAAAAAAAGACTCCAAGCACATATGTTCAAAATAAAAAGTTTCAATGGGGTAGAAACCATCAAAGGCATAAAGTATTTCATCTGAATAAATTTGGCTCCCCTTTTAGCTTCGCACTCCAGCCTGGGCAACAAGAGTGAAACTCCATCTCAAAAAAAAAAAAAAAAAAAACTGTAGCAAAAGAGGAAAATTTGGGGAATTTTTCTTATAATTCTTGACAAGACTGTGGCTCATTGTTCCCTGAGGCCTGTTCTAAGCGGATTTGCGCAGTGGGTTCATGTCTCATGGTTGCCACCTGTGACCCTTCTTTCCCTCCTCCCTGAAGCAGCCTGCCCTCCTCCTTCCACGTTCAGGAGATCTCGTTCCAGCCCTGTTCCCGCTGAATGTCTCCTAATCCCCATCAATGATGGTTTGTGGTATTCCTCTTCCAAAGGGGCCTCTTAGGCTGAAAACCTTTCAAGACCCAAATAAAAAGAAGACTGAAAGTGAATTTCAGTAGTTGTGGCAAATAATGAGAAAGATTTAGGAGCCAGGAGATTTGCCTTGTTGCCTGCAAAACACATCTCAGAGAAGGTTGCCTACTCCAGGCTAGACGTGCTTCTGCTTCTATGTACCCTTCTAAATCCAGACCCACCCACCCAGGGCTCCTTCCAGGCCAGGGAACTCATCCCTGCCCCCAATATATTCTCAGTGTCCCTGGCTAGTAATCACTTGTGGTATGCATGTACCTTCTGCAGGGGCAGAGCTTCATGGACATCCAGCACTCTTCTCAATTTTCAGAATTAATAAGACCTGTTTTTCTGTGAGTTTGATTTTAGATAATTAAATATGCTTTACCCCTCTCCTCACTGCCACCATTGATTAATGCAAAATACTTGAAGATTTAACTTGAAAAGAGACCAACAATATTGGTAGAATCAGGGCATCGTTGTGATGGCTCTATTTAGACAGCAGATGCTCCACATGCTCTATTTCTAACATTCACTGAGTTATTCTTGCCCCATGGTTAAGATGATTTTTCAAAGGTCTCAAGATTTTTATCCTGATCTACTTACTCATCCTAATCATCAAAATTCTGCAGGTTACTATATAAATGTCCACGTTCCTTAGAAAATATTAAAACACATGTTTCTCCTGTTTCTAAATACAGAAACAGAATTAGGGATTGACAAGATCTCAGAGAAAATTTCTTCCCCAAAAGATTATTGGGAAGATTAGATGAGATTGTAAACATTAAAATGTTCCAGATAAAACAAGAGAGCATGACGATTATTATCACCTAGTCAAGTCTTATCTGTGGTTGTCAAACTGAAGCAGAGAAAGATTAAATAACTTTAAGCTATTATTCATATTAAACTTATCCTGGAAATTTAGGACAGAAAATAAATCAACTGAGAGAAAACCAAGAGGTACAATATTTAAAAGTGCAGCAAAAAATTATCAATTGTAAGGGAGAAGTCCTTCTATCCACCAGCAGAGTGGAGGGAGGAAGAGACAAGGGCCGGAATCGATGGTGAGGGCGTTTTGTGAGAGGTTTAACTGGATCTGCTAGAACCAATTGATCAAAGAAACAATTAGGCAAAAGCTCACTTGATCTTGATTTTCTATATGAATGAGGACCATTTCAGTGGACCACAATCCAGGAAAATGTACTGCAGGAACGTAGGAGATTGGAAGCACTGAGTTGATAGAAACGTCCCCCTTTGGATTTATTAGTGTCTATTTTTCCTATGATTGTGGTATTAGACAAAATGTTTCTGGTTGCCTATGACAGAAAACCAAATTCACATACAGAATGCACTCATTTATTTATTCAGGTAAATTTTTTTCAGGGCCTACTATGAGGTAGGTTCTATGCCAGATGCTACAGGTAGTCAAAAAAAGAAAAGAAAAAAACACCTCCTAAGCTCACAGACATAAGGAGAAACAAGTGACGATACAATGTGGTAAATGCTACAGTGCAGAAATGCTCAGCCTTGTGGGAACACACGCAGTGATTCACTTCACCCAGCCTGATGAAGCAGAGAAAGCCTCTTGGAGTCGGGGACTCTAATATATGCATCTTTAAGAATGAGTTAGGAGGCAGGGCGTGGTGGCTCACACCTGTAATCCCAGCACTTTGGGAGGCCAAGGCAGGTGGATCACTAGAGGTCAGGAGTTCAAGACCAGCCTGGCTAATATGATGAAACACTGTCTCTACTACAGATGCAAACTTAGCCGAGCATGGTGGCGCAGCCTGTGATCCAGCTACTCAGGAAGCTGAGGCAGGAGAATTGCTTGAACCCAGGAGGCAGAGGAGGTTGCAGTGAAACAAGATTGTGCCATTACACTCCAGCCTGGGTGACAAGAGCAAAACTCCATCTCAAAAAGAAAAAGAAAAAGAAAAAAAGAATGAATTCGGAGCCAGTGCACAGACAAGATTGAGGGGATTCAACAGAGGGCACATTTCAGGCCAATATGGGCAAAGATAGAAAGGAATGATAAATAGTGTACTCAGGGTAACAATTTGATAGGCAAAGCAGAAAAGCCAAGAAATGAATCTGGAGAGAAGGCAAGGACAGAAGATGGAGGCTTTTATAGGGCGGGTAAAGGATTTCAGCCATTATTCAAAGCTATTAAATAACAGGGTCATATTGTTGCTTTAGAGAGATGAGCCTGGTGGCTGGCAGAAAGACGGAGAGCTGAGCATAAGACCAGAGCCAGAGTTAGCAGGCTGTTGTCGTTTAAACAGAAGAGGA